ACTGGTTATTGAACTCGCATTCTTTAGGTTTGTAATACCGAGAAATTCATACACATATCTCCTCAAGGACACATGCCACAGTGGATAAAGGCGTTAGTTAGATCCAGTGACTGGGCCCAAAGAGTGTAACTTCAAGAAAAAAGTCGTAAAAAAGTGATTCCAGCGGGTTATAGCGGCAGAGCAAGCAGATGAGAACCAAGATGAACGCTATTTAACTTGGTATTTTCTTTCTGGGATGAAAACCTCGATGCCTGTTTTTACTCAGACGCACATTTTTGTACGGGATGATTTAAAACCACATTCCAAGGGACGTCGCGAAGGAAAACATGGCACGAATCCCAGTCTGCCCGTTGATAACAGAAAGATATTCTCTTTAGGTTTATATTTTTGGTTACTTATGGTCATGTTGAGTTACGTTGGTAAGGAAAATACCTAAAGTAAGAGAAGCAGTCGGTCATCAAATGTGGCATGAGCAGAAAGGAACTGGCGCAGACTACATCATAATGTGGCCTCAGGGTTGTATATGCAAAGACACCCATCCATGCGCGATATGGCACTGCAAGAGATAGATAGATAGATAGATAGATAGATAGATAGATAGATAGATAGACCGTGAGATCGATGGGTACATATTATCGCACGCCCTCTCTATGTGAATATAGTCGGACGGACTTATTGTCAGTCTCTTTGTAAAACGGCCTGTTTAAAATCTCCCTTTTATTCAATTCATGTCGCTTGCTCCACACGCTTTGATATGTAAAGTATTAGTTTCATAAAACTTTGCAATCAATCAACCGGTACTGATTTAATACAGTGGTTTTGAAAGTCAGAACATGATCGAACTGACCTGAATTTTATACACTCACAACAGTAAAGTCTTTATCTCTATCCACAGCCAATAATTGGTCCATTTTTAATATCTGCTTTGTTCTCATTTCCTTGTATCCTGTTCCTTTGGGACTCGCTGGCTTTTACAGAAGCAGGAAAGAAGAAAGCGAACGATTGGTCCCAATCAATCTTTTCAATGGCCTTATCAGTGGATATCGATAAAAGATTGAAGTAAAAAAATTTCAAACGAGATCGATTGACAATGGCTGGCCTCAGTGCCCAGCACGTGTAAACATATTAATTGTATTAGCAGGATAACATAGACAATCATAAATTATAATCAGCAGCATTATATTATCCTTTCTCTGTCTAGAAAAACGCAACAGACATCTTGTAAAAACTAAACGGTTTGCCCGCTTGTTCACCATACTTGTCTCGTGAATGTGGAAATAAAATTTGCAGCCGACTGGCGCCTCTTATCTTTACAGAATGGCACTTCGCAATTGCAAAACATTCTGAATTTCCTTATTTGCATAAAGATAATACTTCCTAAGAAGTCCCTGGTGTATATTTGACTAACCACTATAAATACGCACTCACATACACATATATGCGCGCGCGCGTGTGTGTGTGTGTGTGTGTGTGCGTGTACAGGGTATCCCCAAAAATAGAATCACTCTTTAAATGATAATAACTGCGGAGTTTATTAACTGGAAAACAAGATTAATGGTTAAAATTAAGAAATGTTATTTTTATTAACTCACAAAGATTCACGCTTTAAATTAGATATTAAATGAAATTAAATGCATAAATATAAATATTCAAATTAGCGACGGAACCAAGTTTTGATCAACCTATATATATATATATATATATATATATATATATATATATATATATATATATATATATATTATAAATTAACTTATTTAAAATATATATATATTATAATAAAAAGAAAAGATCAGTAAGATATATAATCCGATGTTCTTATTGATATTTTTATTTTTTACAAAACGGTGCTCAATGTAAATCTACAGAGCATAAATATTATAAATTAACTGATTTAAAATATGGTTTCTTCGCTACACAGGAATTATCATGTTTCAAAAACTGAAGCTAAAAGTTCAAATTTAATTATATAATTAAATCAAAAGCATTAGTTCTGTTTCATCTTCAAACGATTTTTTCTCATTTGAAGATGAAACAAAACTAATACTTTTAATTTAATTATATAATTAAATTTGAAGTTTTTTGCATTAGTTCTGTTTCATTTTCAAGCGAATTTTTCTCAATTGAAGATGAAACAGCCCTAGTTAATCACAATCCAATTCTTTCAATGCAATATACTCAATCACCACAAGAATTTGACCATCACCTCCCAATCCTACATGTACCACAATACCTCATATTCACAAAGGACGTACAAAATATCCCGTTAGGTAAAAATTTATAATGTTCATAAAGTGTTATTACAAAAATATAAAAATTCCATGAAACATGAAATGAGCGAAGATGAAACAAATGTTGTGTCGTAAATAGGAAAGTTTGTCACACATAGAGAAAATAAGTAGTAGTTTATTTCGGATAATAATATGGTACAGGGTTGACAACACAGACTAATGTAACTAACAGTTAATTGTTAACTAACCCAATCTCACTAAGAGAGAGTGCTGTTTAAATAGTCTTCGATCTGTCCATCTTATGCGAATGTTCACGACAATAATATAGTTTTAATAATTTTTTTACATTGAATTAATGCATCATTTTCTTGCTTATCCTCTGCCTTTCATTCAGGTTAGTGGCAATAGCAGCTGACACTTCATTCTACTGATAATACTCTCACTTTTTAAGCAATATTATTTTGCAGTTCCATTCGAAATCTCTTAATATTTTTTATCGAATAGTCAAATTCAAAATCTTCCATTACCGATACAGAAACTTCAATAAAAATGGCGTTGGAAATCAAAAATGTAAAAGTATTTTTTAAAAGTGTTCTTTCATTTTGAAAACAGGAGCTAAATTTTTATTTACTATGAAATAAACAAACGCTTAGCCAAAAATATAATGACAAATCCTTAATGTTTACTTAACCTGTCACTTGTCATTTAGAATTGTGTATTTACTGTTGTAAAACGTGCGTACGCATTCTACTCCTCTGTGTGTGTGTGTGTGTGTGTGTGTGTGTGTGGTAAAAATATGAGATGTATTTTAAAAAATCTTACCTTGATATGTTTCTCTGATCAAACATCGTCATCAGACAAGTGGATTTTATTTCAATCAAGTTGAGTTCGTTCGATTCACATTCGTGTAAATACTATCGTAAAAGATATGAATCTAACCCCAGCCATGTTTGGGAGAGAAGACATGGATTATTCATCCTCTTTAGCCTTAAGTTGCAACATAAAACTGGTTGTGTATGGGCTAGCAACTCCATCCCGTAAAATCTACTTACAACGGATATCACAGCATCAATACCAATGGTTACTTTTATATTTACATACGTTATATCTCTGATATTGAGCACTTTCTGCCGTAAATATAGAATTTCATAAAACTATATATTATATATATATATATATATATATATATATATATATATATATATATATATTAATGAGTACAGACGATCTTCAAAAATTCCATTCGGTTATAATTTATTTAATGAATATACAAATATTCATCTCTTCAAACCGAAGTTTTTTCTAATAAATGGAGTCAATTTGTCCAGACAAAAGAAAAAGAGAGAGGAAAAAAGAAAAGGAAAAAATTTAATATTAAAAGAGAAAGAAAGAAAAAGAAAAAAATTCAATATTAGATTTTTAAATAATATATATATATATATATATATATATATATATATATATATATATCATAGGAAATGGATTAAATCTGACAAATATTTAATATATTTTTGTTTATACGTTATTTTTATGGATACACTTATTTAATTATGTATTTAATTAAAGATCAAAGCATTTACTTAAATAAATGTATCCGTAAAAATAACGTATAAAGGGTAAATATATATTAAATATATATATGCATATATAAGATAACGATATATATATTTTTATATATCAAGAACTGTATTTGGAAAATTGTATGTCAATGTGGAAAAAGTTTGCTTTTGATACGTTTCGTCCTTCAGGACTGCATCTGACTAAATTTGTAATGATGACACGACACATGCGCACGAACGAGGGGTGCTGGGAATTTTATTTTATTCTTTTATATCTAGCCGAATTCACTTAGAGTCTTTTACTTTTTTTCTTTTGTAGCAGGTATCTCACACTGTGATATTAGATCTGCCAGGAATGGAGAAAGAGGAATTATGTAAGAGCTAGGGTGAACATTTATTGTGGATGACTTTGCACTCACTAGATATTTAAATCATGGTGAATTATTTTCTCCTTTGATCAAAGTAGGGTTTTTTATGTCAAAATTGTGGTAATTTTCGTTACCGTAAGCAACCAACGCATTTGACATATTGTTTTGTAATATGTCCCTTTTGCGTTCATATAATCTTTTCTTTAGATTCCTTGCCGTTTCTCTTATGTATTTTTGTGACAATTATTACAGGCGATGGATTAAATTCCTCCTTCTGGTTTTAACTTATTTCTATGTTTACTACTGACTAAGTCTTTTATTGTTTTAGATGTTGTAGTAATGAATTTTATGTTAAATACAATTTCCCCAATTTGTGAGAGACCAACAAAACTCCTTGTATGACCAAAGATCAACTGAAGCCAAGTATTATGGCAGCATTCACCAACTTAAACAAGGAAAACGTCCAGAAGAGTTGCAGGAGATTACGAAGTCGTCTGCAGGCCGTGGTTAAAACCAATGGCGATTTTATTGAATAAATTTACTCTTTAGTATTTCAACATATTTTGGGGAAAATATCTGTTAGAATGAGATGTCAGTGTTATTTTCATTTTTGCGTAATTTAGACGATAATTTATCCATCGCACCTTGTATATATTGAAATGAAATACATTTAAAACCTTTAAAAGAATTTTAAAAGAAAATTTCTTGTAGCCCCTTGCAGTCTCCCATATTGTTTTTATTGATTTCTTAATTATCTACAACGCACATTATTATTCCATCGTCATATCGTAAAAATGAAACATCCGGTTTTATACCACTTCCGTTATAATATTTTATACAAAATGAGGATATTTAAACATGCGCATATTAATTTTTCATTTTCTCATTATTATTCATCGTTTCTTGTAATTAATATTACTTTCTTCTTCCTTTCTGCTGTCAAATTCTTCTTTTTATTAAGTATAGTTGATTTCTTTTTATTATGGATAGCAACATTTTTTTTATATCTCAAGATGAAAGTGCAGCCGTTTTAGACTTAACCTTTCGTTTCTATGCCTTGATATCAGCCTTAATTGCTTTATTTGAAGTTATCTCAACTCAGTTCCAAAATGACTGACATCCAGATGAGAACATTAACTTAATCGAACCAAGGTCAAAATCAAGATTTCTAAAATGATAAGAAATATTAATTATTTATGCAAAAAGCAGTCGAATGCAAAAGAAAACTTGATTTTTGTGATTTGCTGACTTCTAAAGGAAACAAAAACATCAATTACTTTTATGCCTCAAACATAATTAATTCTGTGTAACAAGTTGTTGTTGTTGTTCAATATTCGTAGTGGATTCTTGTAGCAGGAATTTATGAACGCCATTTTAAAGTGAACTATAAATTAAAAGAAATAAAGATTATAAAATATAGAAGTGAAGTTTGTTTTTTTTTTGTTTTTTTCGTTTATCCTCTAAATCAGCGTTTCTCAACCTTTTTACCCCTGTGGACCTCTTGAAATAGTTTTAATATCTCAGGAAAGCCCTACACAAAAATTATTATATATTAATATTAATATCTATCTCTTTTATAGTTTTATCGTAGTTCACGTGGTAAACATAATATATGGACACCGCGCATGCGTCCTATACGCATGTAAGTCACTCAGTGATGCAGGTCTTGTCCACTAAGCAGTTAAGGCGGTTTTCACAGTGACGCCATATGGACATCGCTAAATACATTCCCTATGATTATTATAATTTTAAATAATATAAGAAGTTAAATTCTTTATTATAATAACCAAGGATTTTCCAACAATATGCCGTGCAAAATATTGTTCAAAAATACATTAACCTATTTATCACTGTTTCTCGCGGAACCCCCTAGCGACATCTTACGGAACCTTAAGGTTCCGGGGAACACCGGTTGAGAAACACTGCTCTAAACGATCTATATCTTTTTAAATGTTTGTTACAATTAGGATTATAATTCAGAAAGGACGGTATTAGAGCAGGGTTCGAATTGGTCCATTTGTGAAGCTGACTTCTTGATTAAATCACGTTGCGAGAGGATGGTCCAAGTATATGGCACCGTTAGGAAGAACCTGAAGACATATACTAAAACCTAATTTATAGCCGTTTATGTTTTTTTTACACAAAGAAAAGCAACTTTTACATAATATTGAACTTTGTCAGTGTTGTAGCATACCTACGGACGATAATGGGTATGTCCCTGCAGTTGGAGATTCGTCTCCAACTGTAATGGTCAAACTCTCTGCCTGCGGACAGGGACGATCCCCTGATGACGCTATGTCGAAGAGCAGAGTCTCGTTTAGGGAAACAGCTACCCGGCTCTGTTCTGGTCGACGTGTAATTTTTGGCCGAGCCTACGGGCTTGGATAACCCACATTAAATTCGGCCTTGTGTCACATCTGACCGCGTGGAGCAGTTGGTAGATATCTTGCAGTTGGAGATTTGTCTTCAGCTGTGATGGTCAAACTCTCTGCCTGTGAGCGGGGAGGATCCCTTGATGAGGCTATATCGAAAGGCGGAGTCTTGTTTCGGGAAACAGCTACCGGAGCCCGTTTTATACGCGGTCTACAGGGAATTTTTTTCCGAGACTTCGGGCACATTAAATTCGGCCTTGTGCCACATTTGACGATTGGTAGATATCCTGCAGTTGAAGATTCATTGTGGAATTCACTCACTTCTAGCAGTTGACTTCTTCTTCTACGCGCTGCTTGCGAATCTTATATGCGTTGTTCTTGTCCTAAGTATTATCGTTCATTGCCAACCTCCTTCTGATTATTTCTATTTAGATGATGATTGTTGTAACCTAGTTCCCTAGGTTACAACAATCATCATTTTTTTCTTCTTCTTGCGACATACCTATTTACTCACAAAAAATGTAATTGTTTTGCTGCAATATAAATCCAATATAAAGTCCACAAGCTAATCCTCCCTACAACAACCTCTGGTGACCTCGAAGGTCAAATTTAACTTTATATGATTGAGGTCAAATACATTTTTGAATTTCATATCAAACACAATACTTCGCCCTTTTCTTTGAATTTGGGTTATTTGGCTAAAAATTGCATCACACCGCGCGACTTCGGAACTCTCTCTCTCTCTCTCTCTCTCTCTCTCCCTCTCTCTTTCAATGGACAGCCTGTACTCGGCAAATTAGCGGTCCACAACTACCCTCAATTTTAATTTTGACTGTTTATATAAACCTGCGAAGGTAATTTGTAAACTGAACCCGAAAGTTTTCATTTAGTCATCTATCATTTTAGTCAAGTGAGTGGCTGCTTTGAAAACCATACAGACTTTACTACTGACACAAATAAAAACATTTAGAAGCCATTAGAATTCGTGTTTTTCCCAAACCAGTCACGTGAAGGACCAAATGTTGTCACAGATGTTTATTAAGCATAATCGCATAACACAAACGATTAGATTACGAATATACTAAACCAAACTTAATATTGCATGCGCGCAATTCCGTTAATCTTATAGTCACTTTTCATTGAAATCATAAAGACGCTATTCAATGAAACAATGAAGTAAAGATAGTTTTGATGATATCTAAAGATTATCATTAATACGATGATCATTAAAAGTCTGATACAGGTGGATCACCGATTTGCCGGTAGCCTTGATTCAATAATCGTGCTTAACCAGACAAACAGACGACACATAATAACAACTCAATAACGCATATGTCCTACTGATTATGCATCACAAGCTATCTCTCTACGGCATCATTAAGTATTATGAAATACAAGGCAACCTGAACACATGGTAAATTACTCAAGCGGATGAAATTCAAATTGTTCGTACATTCGTCTGGATTAAAAGAGGTGTTGGTCCATTAATGATTGAAAATTGGTGGTGCACAACTATATTCACTATAATGATAATGTAGGTAACGAGAACATTATATTCACGGCATTGATAAAGGTAAAGATGATAATACTGATCAGTTTGATAATATTGATTAAAAGGAACTGATGGCCATGTTAAAGATAGATAGATATAAGATGATAGTAATGATAATGTAATGGTGATAATGCTGATCAGTATGATAATGTTGGTTAAAAGGAGCCGATGACGATGAAAAATATAGATGGATACAAGATGATAGTAATGATAATGTAATGGTGATAATGCTGATCAGTATGATAATGTTGATTAAAATGGGCTGATGACGATGATAATTATAGATGGATATAAGATGATAGTAATGATAATGTAATGGTGATAATGCTGATAGTAGATGATAGTTGATGATGATAATGGATATAAGATGATAGTAATGATAACGTAATGGTGATAATGCTGATCAGTATGATAATGTTGATTAAAAGGAGCTGATAATGATGATAAAGAGGAATAGCTATAAGATGATAGTAGTTTTAATGTAATGTAATCGTGATAATATTGATCAGTATATTTTGTTTTTTCTTCTGTATTTTATTACGGTTTATCAAACTTTTTAGCATTTTAAGTCATGATTCACTGGTAAAACTAATTAACCCCTATCTGGGAGAGAAAACGTGGATTCATATCTTTTCCAAGGGTATTTATGCGTAAGTAAATATAACAAGCCCAACTGGAATTCGAACTCGGCTCTCTGATTAACAATTCCGAGCCGTAATCCATTACAATATCGCACAACTAAGCCCTTCGTATAGGCAATCTGTCCCCGATCTTGGTACTGATCAGGCTTGACGTTGCTTAACTTCGGTGATCAGTATGATGATATTGATTAGAATGAGCTGAACGATGGCTAGCTATAAGATGATTGTAATGATAATGTTGTGACAACGTTGACCTGTTGATAAAAAGGGAGATAATCACGATGAAGATGATGTTGGTTGCAGATGATGACGATAATGTAAATGGACAAAAGAATGAAATTGGAAAAGTTCGTGATGCGATAAACATGTGACCATTGAATTGAAAATGGGTTTTGATGCGGAAATGATGATTTGAGACTGATGGTGTCATTAGTGCAGAAATTAATTATAATGTGGGTTTTTAAAACCGGCATTCATTAAAAAAGAAAATGCAAATAATAAAAGAACACTAACACAATTGCTTCATTTTTTTTTGTCTTTTCTGCATTTTACTTATTTCTCTTTTACTGACTTTTTTTTCTTATTCTACTTATTCCTCATCTTCTTTTTTTCCACTTTTGCTTTTTTCTCTTCTTTTTTTGTCGTCTTTCTACATCTTTTTACTTTTGTTTCTCCTCTTTTCTGTTTATTTTTGCTTGTTTCACTTCTTTTTTTGTCTTCTTTAACCTTTTTTCTTTTTTCCTCTTTTTCCATTTTTGCTTCTTTCCATCATTTTTGTTTTCTTCTTTTTTCTCTTCTAACTTTTTTCTTTTCCTTTTTAAATTTCTTCTTTCGTTACTTTACATTTTTCTTCTTTAGTATCTGGCTTTGCTTCTTTTTCTTTTTCCTTTCTCTGTCTTATTATTTTCTTTCTCTTAACTTTTTCTTCTTTGTCTTCTTTAGCATCTTTTCCTTTCTCTTTTTCTTCTTCTTTATCTTCTTTTTTCTTTTTCTTTTTCTTGTTTTTCTCCTTTTGCCTCTACGCCCACTTCTTTTTCTTCTTTTTCTTCTTCTGTGCTTCCTTTTCATGGATCGTTTTCGTTTTTTCCGTTTCTTATTTCCTTTTCTTTTTTTACATTTTTCTTCTTTTTTCTCCTCTTTTACCTTCTTTTTCCTCTTCTTCTTCATCTTCTTTTCTCTCTGTCGTCTTTTATTGCTTATTTTGCTTCTTATTCGCCATCATCTTCATCTTTTTCTACCCCTCTCATTTTTCATAGAAATTATAAGGGCATGATTACTTGTTTGGAACTTTTGCTAAGGACGGAAACTCATAGAAACACAATTTATCGTTCTATGAATGGAATTAAAGTCGAACTTGATCATTAATTTGAATAAATGACCACTTGGGAATACTAACAGTTGTAAACTGAGTTGGACAAAATCAGGTCTGTTTCAATCGGCCTTTCTGGACAGGTCATTAAGGTTACACCATGGTTTCAGGAAAGAAGACATTTACGGGTTTTTGCTAGGCTCGTCCAATCGTTTCTCTCTTTAGATCGTCATTTAGACGGATCACAGATGACGTCACTTATTTTATTGCATTTCACATGATAGTAATATGACGTTAGCAGTTTGGACATCTCTACAGAAAATGTAGGCAAATTCATCCAAGTTAGTTCTACGTTTTCTTGTTCTTTTCTTGTAACGTCATTTTTACTGCCGACTTAATTCATCTGAAGACTTAAACGGACAGGAAAAGCGAATTCAGGCATACCTAACAGTTATAAATTCATGAGAAACAAGATATATGGTGTTTGCGATAGACGATTTAAATGACATTATTAAAGAAAAGCAATTGCGAAACCAATCCATATTCAAAGATAAAAATTAATTCTTCACAGAACCTGGCCCTGATGCAAAACGTGTTTAATGCTCGTACGAAAATTATATATATATATATATATATATATATATATATATATATATACACTATTTTATGCTTATTATTTATATATATATATATATATTTATAGATACAATATTTAAGCAAATGCTTTGTTTATGATAAACAGTAATAAATAACATTTACCGGCCTGAAATGAACGAATATTTTCTATGAAAATTTTCGGACATTCAGGCCGGTAAATGTTATTTAATACTGTTTATCATAAACAGAGCATTTGCTTAAATACTTGTATCTATAAAATAACAACGTTAAAAACAAAAAAATGTCTTTAATAAATAAATTTATATATATATATATATATATATATATATATATATATATATATATATAAGACTTTTTATGTTCATTTTTTTTTATAGATACAAATATTTAAGTAAATGCTCTGTTCATAATAAACTGTATTCACGACATTTACCGGCCTGAATGTCCCAGAAATTTTCAGAGAAAATATGCATTCTACGAAAATTTCTCGGAGATTCAGGCCGGTAAATGTCGTTAATACTGTTTATTATAAACAGAGCATTAAATATTTGTATCTATAAAAAAAAGGACGTATAAACATAAAAAAATGTCTTAAAATAATTGTCAGACTTTGTCCATTTCATAATATATATATATATATATATATATATATATATATATATGAAGAACAAGTAGGCAACGTATCCCAATCTAACATCTTAAAATAAATGATAAAATAAAGAACAAGTCGGTAACGTATCCCAATCTAACATCTTTTATTTTTATTAAAGCTTCATCGGAGATCGAGATAGAAAAAGCAGAGACGCAGAGTATTTTTATGTTATGATTTTTAGTTAGTTTTTATTGGCCAGATACGTGTCCCGTATATTAACGTAATAGGTAATATATAAATATGTGTGACGAACATTTTGGACATTAATGTGTGCAATAATGTAAGATTGTGTATGTAAAGAAACACTTGTGTATCTAGATGTATGCTGGACTGTAACGTTAATTCATAAGTGTATAAATGTATGTGTGTGTGTGTGTGTGAGGAATGTCTATAGAATCCATCATCGTATACGCCGGTGAAATGTAGAGAAATATTGCAATAATTTTGTATTTGGTTGAATTATATTCTCGCAGACGTGTATGTGTGGTGTAATGTCTGTTGTTGCCACCTCAGTGTCGGTAAAACGCAGCAAGATATTGTAATAATCATGTTTTGGTTGGATTCATCATTAAAGCATTTATCATGCGTATTTTTAAAAGATTTTGTATATTTTCATTATTTTATGTGTTAGATAGACATAAGTTAGATTCATGAATAATGGATCTGTAGAAAGATGTTGATGTGATGTAATGTTTTAAGTGAGTATTTATAGTTGGTAGTAATGCTGTATGATTTCATATTTTCTTCCTGGAGAATTATGTTCTTTTTTAATTAGGGTGGCATTACTGAAATCAAAGTCCCTCGTCCTTTCGATGTAAGACGAGAGAGTTAGAATATTTTTCTAAACACAAGTCTCTCTTGGGTTCGTAGATACGGGTTTTTGGCTCACGTGCCGTCTTCTCCACGTAGATGTTTTTGCACTGTATACACTTTATCTGATAAATTCCGGCGTTTGAAATGGTATTTGGTTTATTTTTCTTTCTGAATATATCCCCAATTGTCTTGCAAATGTACATGCTGAACTCAAATTAACAAGTAAATCATGAAGAAACCTACCGTTTTGGAGTTAACGACAAGAAAAAATCGGACCTGTTGGTCATTCGTCCCCCATTACTACCATAGTGTTTAGTAATACGGTGCGGGGTACTCCAGCTGGCGTAATCAGAAATTGTGGCCTATTTACTTCTTTTACAGTTATATCTCTTTTTGAAATCACTACGCATTATTGTAATTTTTGGGTACCTCAATAAGCTTCCTCTTGAGAATCGAACGAAACGTGCTATCATCTGCAGTATTCTTTGAACCAAGAATACCAATATTTTACTTTTGCACAGCATTTTTACAGGTGATGAAAAAATAGGTTTTGCCTGTCACCACAAAACGAAATGACGAAAGGGGAAATCAGTGACGAATAAATAAAATAAATACCTAAACGAAGACTCCATTCACAGAGGTTTTTGCTTGGCGTCTGCTGTAATTGTGACAATTCTCGTACTTTACGAGTTACTGGAACATGGAAGGACACTCACAGTAGATGTTCATTGCCATCAACTTAATCAATTAAACGAAGTATTATGTCGAGAGTAACTTACTTTGATAAAAAGAAAAGGTGTTATTCTTTAAGAACACACTCTGCAAAACAAAACACAAGAAAAAATAAGTGCCTTAGAATGGGAGAGTCTTCTACATCCATCATAATCACCAGATTTAGCAACAGATTTTTTTTATTTGTTACGGTCACACGGTCCAAGGGATAAAAGCTTTGGTTGAAGTTATCCAATAACTTGATCCAAAGAGTTATGAGTTCAATACCTTGGAGAACTGAGTTACTAAAGGTGAATAACTGAAAGTGAAAAATCCAGAAAAGGCATGGCACGTGGAAATAGATCGATCTACCACAGTGGACGAAATAAAGGGTTAGGTCTGTGTGGGAGGTAACGCAGCAACTCAACTGATGATAACAGGCAGGAACAAAGAAACCGTGAGGAAGGGGTGACCAAAAACCCCCGGTGTCGCACGTCCAACCTTCTCACGAGCCGAAAGGTCTCTGATCCGAAACAGCAAAACGAGCCTGCTTTATACAGCCGAGGACCGACCACGATTTGCATGCGAATGACGAGACAACGAGATTTCGCGTTAACTAACCGAGACCGCCCAGCATAAAATATGGGCGCCGCCATTTTGGTTATTTTTACCGTTGGGAGAACCGGAGTTTGCACACTGCACAGATTCGCACGCCTTTCCGAGGTAAGCCATTTTCACAATTTTCCCCACAGTCTGAAATTCCAACGTATATCAACTGAAGAAGACCAGAGCGTAGAGATACCGAAACGTCGTGAATGACAATAAACATGAGTAGTATAAATAGTTACAATACCTCATCTCGGAAACACAGACATTTCATAAGAGGAAGAAAGTTCAAATAAAAAGAAGTTGAAAACAGACTTTCTATATTTTGTGGGGGATGTAGTAAGTTTTGTTTCCCTCCCCTTTTTGTTTCCCTCCCCTTTTTGTTTCCCTCCATCTCGTTGTTACCCCTCCCCCGTTGTTTCCCTATCCACGGCTGTTTCCCTCTCTGCTATCGTTGTTTCCACCCCCTCGTTTTTCACTCTCCCCTTTTTGCTTCCCTCCCCTTTTTGTTTCCCTCCCCTTTTTGTTTCCCTCCCACTCGTTGTTCCCCCTCCCTCGTTGTTTCCCTATCCCCGGCTGTTTCCCTCTGCTATCGTTGTTTCCACCCCTCGTTTTCCTCTCTTCTTTTGTTTCTTTCCCTTTTGTTTCCCTCCCTCACGTTGTTCCCCCTCCCTTGTTGTTTCCCTATCCCCTGCTGTTTCCCTCTCTGCTATCGTTGTTTCCACCTCACTCCCTCATTTTTTTTTTCGTTTGCCCCTTTTCGTTTCCTCCCTTTTCGTTTCCCCCTCCCTTTTTGTTTCCCGCCCCTTTTGTTTCCCTCACTCTCGTTGTTCCCTCTCCCTCGTAGTTTCCCTATCCCCTCCCTCTCTGCTATCGTTGCTTCCACCCCATCGTTTTCCCTCCCTTTTTGTTTCCCTCCCTTTTGTTTCCCACCCCATTGTTCCCCCCCCTCGTTTTTCCCTATCCCGGCTGTTTCCTCTCTGCTTTTGTTCCATCCCTCCCACTTTTTTTCCTCTCCTTTTTTTGTTTCCCTCCCCTTTTGTTCCTCGTTGTTCCCTCCCTCGTTGTTTCCCTATCCCCGGCTGTTTCCCTCTCTGCTATCGGCGTTTCCCTCCACCCCCTCGTTTTCCCTCTCCCCTCGTTTTTCCCTCTCCATTCGTTGTTTTTGTTTCCCTATCCCCGGCTTTGCTTCCCTCCCCATCGTTGTTCTCCTCATTGTTTCCCTACCTTTTGTTTCCCCTCTCTGTTTTCCCCCTCCTCGTTGCTATCGTTGTTTCCCTCTCCCATCGTTTCCACCCCACCCCTTTTTCCTCTCCCTTTTTGTTTCCCTCCACTTTTGTTTCCCTCCCTTTTTGTTTCCTCCTATCTCGCTGTTTCCCTCTCTGCTATCCTCGTTCGTTTTCCCTATCCTTTTGTTTCCCTCCCTTTTGTTTCCCTCTCTCTGTTGTTCCCCCCTCCTCGTTGTTTCCCTATTTCCAATCGTTGTTTCCACCCCACCCCTCGTTTTTTCCCTCTCCTTTTCGTTTCGTTTCCCCCCCCCCTTTTTTTTTCCCTCTCTGCTATCGTTATTTCGTTCGTTTTCCCTCCCTTTTTTTTTTCCCCCCTCGTTTTCCTCTCGTTGTCCCCTTGGCTGTTTCCTCTGCTATCGTTGTTTCCACCCCTCGTTTTCCTCTCTTCTTTTTGTTTATTTCCCCTTTTTGTTTCCCTCCCACGTTGTTCCCCCTCCCTCGTTTTTCCCTCTGTTTCCCCTCTGCTTTTGTTTCCACCCCTCCCTCTTTTGTTTTCCCTTTTCGTTTCCCTCCATTTTCGTTGTTCCCCCCCCCCCTCGTTGTTTCCCGTTGTCCCCTCCTTTTTTTTTCCCTCTCTGCTATCGTTATTTCCACCTCCTTTTTTCCCCCGTTTCCCCTTTTTGTTTCCTCCCCGTTTTTGTTTCCTCCCCTGCTATCGTTGTTCCCCCCACCCCCCGTTTTCCCTCTCCGTTGTTTCACTGTCCCCCCGGCTGTTTCCCCCTCCCTCTGCTATCGTTGTTTCCTCTGCTACCCCACCCCATCGTTTTTCCCCGTTTCCTTCCGTTTTTTTTTTTCCCCCCCCTTTTGTTTTCCCGTCCTCTCCCTTTTTGTTTTCCCCCTCCCTTGTTGTTTTGTTGTCCCCGGCTGTTTCCCTCTCTGCTATCGTTGTTTCCACCCCCTCGTTTTTCCCTCTCTTCTTTTTGTTTCTTTCCCCTTTTTGTTTCCCTCCCTCACGTTGTTCCCCCTCCCTTGTTGTTTCCCTATCCCCGGCTGTTTCCCTCTCTGCTATCGTTGTTTCCACTCCACCCCCTCATTTTTCCCTCTCCCCTTTTCGTTTCCCTCCCCTTTTCGTTTCCCTCCCCTTTTCGTTTCCCTCCCCTTTTTGTTTCCCTCCCTCTCGTTGTTCCCTCTCCCTCGTTGTTTCCCTATCCCCGGCTGTTTCCCTCTCTGCTATCGTTGTTTCCACCCCACCCCCTCGTTTTTCCCTCTCCCCTTTTCGTTTCCCTCCCCTTTTTGTTTCCTCCCTCTCGTTGTTCCCCCCTCCCTTGTTGTTTCCCTGTCCCCGGCTGTTTCCTTCTCTGCTATCGTTGTTTCCACCCCTCCCTCTCCCTTTCCCCTCACGTTGTTCACCCTTCTTTTTTTCCCTATCGCCCCTGCTTTTGTTTCCACCCCACCCCCTCGTTTTTGTCTCCCCTTTTTGTTTCCCTCCCTCTCGTTGTTCCCCCTCCCTCGTTGTTTCCCTATCCCCGGCTGTTTCCCTATCCCCGGCTGTTTCCCTCTCTGCTATCGTTGTTTACCCCACCCCTTGTTTTCCCCTCCCTTTTTGTTTCCCCTTTCGTTTTTCTCCGTTGTTTCCCTATCATTTTGTTTCCCTCCTGCTTCGTTTTCCCCACACCCCACACCCTCGTTTTCTCGCCCCTTTTTTTTTCCCTTTTGTTTCCCCCCTCTTTGTTCCCCTCCCCTCGTTGTTTCCCTTCCCCCTATCATCAGCTGTTTCCCTCTCTGCTATCGTTGTTTTTCCCCTCCCTTTTTGTTTCTCTCCCCACCCCCTCGTTTTTCCCCCTCATTCGTTTCCCTCTCCCGTTTTTTTTCCCCCTTTTGTTTGTCTCCTTTTGTTTCCCTCCCTCTCGTTGTTCCCCCCCTCCCACGTTGTTTCCCTATCCCCGGCTGTTTCCCTCTCTGCTATCGTTGTTTCCCCCCCCTCGTTTTTCCCTCCTTTTTTTTCCCTCCTTTTTGTTTCCCTCCCTCTTTTCCCTATTCCTGTTTCCCCTCTGCTTTGTTTTTCCGTTTTTCCCTCTCCCCTTTTCGTTTCCTCCTTTTTGTTTCCCTCCTTTTTGTTCCTCCCCTCTCCTTGTTCCCCCCTCCCGTTGTTCCCTATCCCTGGCTGTTTCCCTCTCTGCTATCGTTGCTTCCACCCCTCGTTTTCCCCCCTCTTTTTTTTCCCTCCCTTTTGTTTCCCTCCTCTCGTTGTTCCCCCTCCTCGTTGTTTCCCTATCCCTCGTTGTTTCCCTATTTTGTTTCCCTCTCTGCTATCGTTCTTCCACCCATCGTTGTTCCCCCTCCCTCGTTGTTTCCCTATCCCCGGCTGTTTCCCTCTCTGCTATCGTTGCTTCCACCCCCTCGTTTTTCCCTCTCCTCTTTTTGTTTCCCTCCCCTTTTTGTTTCCCTCCCTCTCGTTGTTCCCCCTCCCTCGTTGTGTCCCTATCCCCGGCTGTTTCCCTCTCTGCTATCGTTGTTTCCACCCCACCCCTCGTTTTTCCCTCTCCCCTTTTTGTTTTCCTCCCCTTTTTGTTTCCCTCCCTCTCGTTGTTCCCCCTCCCTCGTTGTTTCCCTATCTCCGGCTGTTTCCCCCTCTGCTATCGTTGTTTCCCTCTCCCTCGCCGTTTCCCCTCTCTCCCTTTTTGTTTCCCTCAGCCCTCCTTTGTTTCCCCACTCGTTATTTCCCTTACACCTCGTTTTATCCACTATGCTCTCATTGTTTCCTTCTCCCCTCATTAAATCCCACTGTCCTTTGGTCGTTTCAGGTTAAATTATAGTCTGAAAGTCATTGAGTGAAAATTAGCTTATAAAATGTCTAAGCTTCGTATATAAGACGTAAGCTGATTTTTAGACATTTTTAAGGGCTTTTTTCTAATCTGTTACATATGGCAGTTAAAGCTATACACTCTTAATGCTATTTAATGACAAAATCCAAACAAATAATATATATTTATAAGATATTCTTTGTTACTGTAGGCATATAATCATGAGAGTTAATGAAAGCGTTGACTTTTTTGTTTTATACACCTTGCCCCTAATGTCACAGGTTAGAGTTAGTATAACTATATTTGCTTACTTCAAATATATACTTGCAGTATTTGCTGTGAAACTTCATACGTAATCATCAGAATGGACGAATGTTTTGACATCTTTGTGTCATAGGTTACCTAAACTGCCACTTCTTTATCTAATATCCCCTAGTGATACACATCGCTATTGGTTGATAAGAGTTGCCATGCTGAATCCATATGCTTACAAGTTTGCTGTTAAATCCGACGTTATCCATAGCGCATTGATGTTTAAACTTTAAACTTGAGGGTGAGACTAACACTTATAGCTTCAGATCATGATGCGACTGTGATAAAATAAATGGATGCCAGTGTAGCTACCGACTTTAACCTCGGACACATACGATACTTGATTAGTTGGCAGACGGGAGAGTTTTTCTCTCGAGTAGAAATCGGTTTAAACTGTAGATGTCAACTTATACCTCAGAATATTTAAATTCAGAGGAATCCTCATTGTTTCCATGAAAGATAAAATTATTCCCGATGTTACAAACTTAAAAAAAAAAATAGTAGCCTGCAAAGTTTATAAAAAATCTATGCTTACTGGCACTTAGACATGCTGTAATTGTAGAGAGGCCTGTTTCGCAGATTAATTACTATTGAGTAGTGACTTCGGTTTTCACTGGATGCTCAATATGTGTGACCCTTCGCCAAATCTAAGCTATGCTTAGTAAATCAGTATAGAAAACAATGCTTATATATGCTCTTTCATCATTTCACGTCAAACAACGCAATAAAGCCACTAAGACGCAAAAGGAGACACTGAGTGTGAAATAATATGAGAAAACGGGATTAAGGAGAAAGAAAAATAAATGAACAGAAATTATGATAGAAGATAAAGATTGACATTCAGTTAATATACTGAAGATCAAAGCTGACCGTCAAACAAGAGTACCACAAGCGAGAAGTTCTAGAGGAAACTGTTAGCATAGAACTTACGGTTACATCGAGCCGTTTCTGTCGTAAAATGATGAGCCCAAACCGCCAATCTAGTTCTGCACTTAAATTCGTATAGTTTTTGAAAGTCGTCTTTTTTGTATACCTACGCGACTTCGAATCTGTGACTTACACTTTCGATTCCCTGCGATTAAACAACATGCGATGTGTAAATTGTCGCCATTTTATATTTTTCTGATGTCGCCCATTCGAAAAACTTACATTCTCTGCTGCCTTTCAGCTGAAGGCCCTACAGTCTGTAAGGTCAATCACTTCACCCCCAAGCAAGGTGATAGAAACCAACATTTAGTTAGATCCTTGTTGACAGGAAAGCCGAGAGTTCCACAAACGAAAGGTGCAGGAGAATAAACTATTAACAAAGAATATACGGTTACATCTAACAACTTCAACAGCGAAATTATGAGACATATCTGCCAATTTAGCACTTAAAATCCTGAAATTGAGGTACCAAAAAGGAAAGGTCATAACAGTTACCATGAAAATATTTACAGAAATGGCACAGAGAAACTACATAACAGAGGGGAGAATGTGACTGAAGACGAGATGCCTGGTCAAGACTGCTAACATTGCAGATTCTTCTCTGGATTTTATCAAGAATCTCTAAATACAAGTCTATATGTTTGCATTGTCAAGAAAGTAATTTAACTAATCTTTACGACATTCTAACTATAATCAGATTTTTGCCTTATTTATCTTTCCTGAAAATTTAATATCTTTCAGTTGCATAATTTACTAGAACAACCCATATAAAAATAAATCAGAAACACAGAAACTGTGAAATTTGCTAAAAATTGACTTTTGCTTTCAACTACGTCGGTGACTTTCTTATAAAAAGAGACTGTATGAAAGAAAAGGTCAGATTCCTGACAGGACAATTCTTTGTACGACACCTTTCATCAGAACGAATTCGACAACTTTCAAAGCATCGTTATTTGTATACTACACGCGAACACTCACACATAATTTTGAGTTTTCATGCTGTCTCTGAATATTGCTCAAAATCTATTATTCGTGTATAGGAAATGACGCAATTTCCCGTCAGTGAAAGTTCTAGAAAAATAGGATCAACTTTGTCGCAATTCTTAATCTATAAAAAGACGCCTACGCACGTTTTCTAAAAAAATAAAACACCCGGACACTTTTTTTTTCAATCGGGTGTACAAAAAATACGCGGTCGCTTCCTAAGAAATGTGTGAAGCTAGCATGCGTGTGCGTGATCCCATCAGAACAATATAAAAATAACAATATTTTCAAACCGCTTCAGAACAGTACACTTGCTAGGCAAGATGAATACAACTGTGTCTCACTGCAGCCTGCTCCTTTAACAGTATCAAACTTACGACGCTCGACTCGGCGATAATACTTTTGACACCGCGCTGCTGATGATATTTGTCTATAACTCTCAGAGAAAGAAAAACAAAACTCGAACGATTATTTCTTGTTTTCAGATTTTTACACAAGTTCTTGTATAGTAAAAGAACTTCTTTTGTTTTGTAGCACTCTTATTAATCGTTTTCTATTAACATTAGTACCCTACACGAGTCCCTTAGTACTAAAAACTTGAAACCATCTTTAACTCACTAAATACTACGCAATGGTCATACTCTTTCAAGTCAGAACTTGAACTTTTCTGTATTTTTAGGAAATTGAGTATGCTAATTTTTTATTGCTATATAAACTTTTGTGATGTTAGCACGCTCACTCGTTGTAACTTCCTTTAAGTCAAAAATGCTCATTACCAATTCCGAAATACTCGTTGTAGACGAGACTTTGTAAACACAGCTACTGGTAGTAGTAGTAACACCTTCAAATAATCATCGCACTAATAATATTTGTTCAAATACTAATCGCCGAATAGTATAATGATCATATAGAGAAATAGTGAATAGAATAGAGAAATGCGATCCGTATAGTAATAGAGGATAGGATAGAAATAGGGATCACTTAGACGTCACGCTACTTTACGTGCTCCACTTAATTAAATTATGGAATCACCCGTGTTGCTCACGAGCGATTTATTTTCAAACTACAGTGTCGACAACGACACTTAACTCCTATACAACATAAACACTGTACGATCATTCAGGTAATAGACTGTTTCTTTTAATATTTGCCACAAGAATATGTTTTAATTCAGTTAAAATAATTTATTGTTTCTCTTATTATTTAGTTAAATGATTTTCGTGTTAAGCTTATACACGACATTCATCCTACCCTGGCTCGAACTTATAAGATTTAGATCAGTGTTTTCCCAACCTTTTTAAGCAAAGGTACACCTAGAAGCAAATGAAGATATCACGGCATACTTACCAAATATTTAAAGGGTATATATTTAAATGTTATGAAATAAAACCATAAATTTAAAATGAGAAAATACACAAACAATATGTCCAATGTTTCTATTCAACTATTTGTGCAGTTTATCTGGTGTGAAACCTGTGACTGGTGGGTTTTTTTTTCTTGTTTTATTTTTTGTTTTTCGGTTTTTTTAAATGTTTAGCCGAATATGTGATAAGCAGACCTACAATTGTTCTTATAAGTTTACAGTTGAAATGGCTAGATGCAACCGTAGGTTCTATGCTAACAGTTTCTTCTCACGCACTTCTCATTTATGGAACTCTCTTCCTGTTTCCTGCTTCGAAAATCAATCTTCGAATCTTATTAGAATGTTGGTCTTTATCGTCTGTCTTCCTAATTCCAGTCATTTTATTGTTTTCTCTCGCTACTAATGGTTTTTTCACGCACTCAATAACCACTTGATTCTTCGTGGCTTTATTGCTTTGCATGAAGCGAAATAATTAAAAAAGTATATCTGTCAATTTGCTGTTCATGTATTTCATATTATCTTTAGATTTTTCCACTTGAAAATATCGTTGAAGTTCAAAAAACAATTCAGTTTAGGATTTCAAACAGATCCACCTACGCGAATAACTATCATTCGAATTAGTTTGTAATTTGAAGCAGAAGGAACTGTTTAAAATATCCCCAAGAAACGCCCAGGTGGGCTGTAGACCATGACAAGTCCCACAAAGCAAGAATGTATACTAGAAATTTATCGGGTTTTTAATGATTGTAACCAAAGATGTCTGATTTGATGCGTCTGCAGTAACAGACACTAACTCAAATCACGCCTATATTTAATAAAGGAGTCATCAGACACACATCCCATGAGCCACTTCCGAGTTCTTTAACTTGATTGGGATAGGCATCAGAAAACCCACCAGAACAGTTAACGCCATAACACCGGACACAGCGTCCCATTTTGAATAGGAAAGTAGCTAATTTGACCCTTGAAAACTGACTGTGAAACATGGCCTGATAAGTCCCGGTTCTGGTTGCTTCGTGTCAGATTTTGATTTAGCACAATCCATATGAAGCCATTGGTCTCAGTCATCAAATTTCCAACGTGTAAGTTGGTGGTCTGTCTTCTGTTTCGCCTGAACACGTCATTGAACGATGTCCGCTGCGTTGTTCTGCATCACGACCATTTGCATACATTCATGGACTTTCAGTACCTCAATATTGATAGGTTATTCCAGCAGGATAATGCACAGGGACATTGGTTCCCAGCTATCAAGATTTACGTTAGGGATCATTCTGGTCACGTCTTACAAATATTGTGACCCCCATGTTCGCCCAAACATAAACCCACTCGAGCATTTATTTGACGTCTTGGGAAAGTCTATTCGCACGCAATATCTGGGAAGTGTGGACGGCTATCGAGACAGCGTCACTTCACACCTTG